GAAACTCTTCTGAGTTGATTGCCATGAAACATAAGCTTAATTATACAGTTGAGGTTTGCAGCAAGTTGACAACTCTATTTATTTTTTTCATTCTCAGAATCTGATAGAGAAAGCTGGTTCGATCGCTTTTAGAAGTAGAAATTTTCATGCCTTGTATTTAGCAGCTGAAAGCAGTTTCGTGTTTGTATGAGATGCAGACGAGCCGCACAGTCTGAAATTATTAAGTCTTCACTGACCAAAGAACAGCCATGTAAAAGAATTAAATAGGCATTTTCTTGAATGAAAGTCATCTATAGGCATGTTTAGTTTCCCAGCAGTGAAAGCTCCGGGTGTTCGTGACTGCAGTCATCAAAGTCGAGGTTTTTATTCAATCCCACACATCTTTTGTTTTGAGTTGTTGTTTTCTCCGATAATAAAAAAAATTGTTCAACCGACTAAAATTTAATTTCCTGGTTCTAGTGTTAATGATAATGATGACGGTTTTTTTTGGTTTCTTTCATAAGTATTGACATTCTTTTCTTAGTTATCGTCTTCTCCAAAATTAACTTATGCCAAACCAGTAGCATGCAAGAAAGCCAGTAAAAACAACATCGTCTTGTCGAGCGCTCGCGACCTGCAAACTTCAAACATCATTTTCACCGTTGGTGCAAACAGATAACCATGTGGTGCAAAAGTTTGACACTAGAAAAATATATAAGCTTTCGAATGAAGTGATTTTTTGGGCCCCCTTTTTTGTCTGTTTCGCCCTTTTTGCTTTTAAACTTGGCGCGACGGCAAAGTTATGCTTACGCTATTGGTTTATATACTAGACCGGAAATAAAAAGCTGACCGGATATTAAATTTTGTGCTCATGCGCATTGCGTTTTGCCGCGGTGTTTCTGTACACAGGCTATTAGTGGCTGAATCGTCCCCAGTCCTCTTCGTAACGAGCATGGCGGGAGCAGGGAGTGATGGGGGAAAAAGGAAGGAAGATTCTCTCTCCCTCGCTCTCTTTGTTCCCATCACAACCTGTGCACCACTAGGGAGAGGTTTAGTGAGTAATGAATTGGGGACGAGTCTAGCTTGAGCGGGTCCTTCTCTGACACTCACAGCTGGAGTTGATTTCCCGGTAAACCCAGTATAAACTTCCCTGTCGACACGCTTGCAGCAACTAATTGGTTTACTTCGAATGGTAGGCTACCATTTGGCATTCCTTGACACTTTCAAGTCATGTATTGAGCAGTTTCACTAAAGTTAAATAACAGTCAAACCTTCTGACCATAGCTGTTGTTCTAACCCCAAGATTATATACGGTCACACAATCCTTATTTCTGTAATACGGAAACGTTTGTGAAATGGACAGTTGGCTCTGCATGTCTTTGGTGTCCGTATTAGAGATCTTTTGCTAATGTAATGCTTGACAGCTAAAAAAGCTAATGTTGCACTTTATTTATTCGTTATTTTGTTGGCTTTTTGTACGTTATTGCATTACATTATCGGATTGCTCTTTAATCGCATTTGTGTTTGACAGGAAGGGTTTATGTCAGTTTACGGCGTGCTTTCACGTTTTGATTCACTGCAGGGCCTGCAGTGACACACATTGTGCATTCTTTCGTCGTCTATTCTTTATCCACCACTTCCTTATGACGTGTGCTTATTGAGCCATTTCTGAACTTTAGTGTTGGCGGATTGTTTTTCTGTGGGAGGATACCAGGTAATGGCCGGGAGGGCCTGGGTAGAGGTACCAAGCTTTCGACTGTATATATTTGTCTTGTTAATTCTTCTTTCAGCCGCCTAAGGAAAATAGATATAACGAACAAAGAATGACCGATCCATATCTCTTAATAATTCTGATCAATATAGCTAACAATGACAATAATCCAGCAACCAGGACATGCCCTGTTCGCACATCTCACACAATACACCTTCTTCTCCCCTAATATTTTGCATAAGCATAAGTGTTGTCTCTAATTTCTTTTGGGACGACTTTAATACCCAGGAGAAATTAAAAACAACTTTTGTTTAATGGAGATGCGCAAATGGTGAATAGCCTGCATAGCAGATTCAAAAGAAGTTCGTTATTCACCCGGCACGGTCTATAGGTGCGGCGGTAAAACGGGCAACAAACTGACATCGATCTTGTTTTGCAACACTGCCGAAAAACGAGTTGAAAAGTGAATGTTTTACCACCCACGTTCAAACCTGTCTTGCAACAAATTAGGTTACTGGATGCGAAAAGTTGTTGCAGAGAGTAGACAGTAGTTCTACTTTTTGCAGGCAAAATCTGTAAATGTTGCGCGGCCTATGCCAAGACAATTTGTTTTCCAGCAAGTGACGCAATTTTATGCAATCAGAAGTCAGTATTCACGCAACTTGCAGCAACCTTTATTTGTTGCAAGACATGTTTGAACGTGGGTAGTTTCACAGCAGTAGCTTGTTCGTTAAGTGCTGCCTGACGTCCTTTGATAATTGCATTTTGTCGGCTTCTTCGGACTGGTTCAAACGCCAGGCCGTCTTACCCTAGCTTAAAGCATGCCGGCTCTGAGGCTTTTACGCAGACTATAGAGGAAAGTGGTGGTGGCATATACTATATACCTTTATTCTATTAGTTAACTCTTGACATTCTTTATCAGTTTTTCCTATTTCCTGCTGTAGTTTGGCAATGCGTCTTTTCTCTTTTTGTTGTTCCTGGCTGATCCTTTTGTCTTGCTCCTCGAGTTTCATTTGTAGCTCCTGTAAGGAAAAAAATTCTTAAAATGACTTTAACAAGGCTGACGTATCATTTCAGAAACTTATGCAATTTGAGACGAGTTAAAAAACAACTAACTTTTAGAACCCCTGTGCACTATAGCTAAGCACACTGGACTGATTTATTATTGGAGAAAGGTGTCGGATTATTCAGTAAGATTTTGCTTAGAAAATCGAAATAAGAAAAAAATGTCCAAGTTAACACACACTATTTGGAAAGTTCTAACTGACTTTTTAACGCATTATGCCTTAGTAGCCTAACACGTGGTTCCTACTCAAATAGTTAACTCGGACTAACCGTACGAGCGACGGCAGGAATCATTACCGCTTGTCAGTAAAACTGTAAAAGTTTGTGTAATATTGTGTTCAGTCAATAAGATGGATGTCTTTATTGAATTCGCCATGGTGACTCAACACGGTGACAGGGGATGAAAGAGGACTTATTTCCCAATTGATATCAACCCTTTCATTACCCACCCAGTCCATGAAAGGTTGTACCACATCACCAGGGTCTGCGCCCCTACTTTTTACGAACAGCAGTGTGGGTTCTCTTAAGTGCCACAAGAATCAGAACAGTGAAAGAGTTGTGAGACGGGGCCTAAGGGTTTTCGTCCTTACCTGAGAATACTAGAATGTCTGACCATTTGTAGACGTCACAATAAACAACCCCCTTCCCAACCTCCTCCCTCCTCCTCTGGCTGGTTCAGCCGGAGTTTAAACCCGCGACCTCCCGCCCAGCAGACTGATGACGCTTTACTCAATTGTCATGTGAAGGTCAAGACTTACCAGTATCTTATCATCTTTCTTATCCAGTTCTCTTGTAGCTTTTTCTATCCTCCCCTCTAGTTCTTCGAGGCTTGGAAGAGTGGAGCCAGTTTCTACTAATTTAGCTAGTCTTTCACTTTCCTTTTCAAGCTGCATGAGTTTCTTGCTTTTTTTTCTGAGAGAAGAAAAGGTGTTGCGTCAACAATTCATTACCCTTTTGCCAAAGAAAGAACTGCGAGTTATTTTATAGAATTAAAGAAGAACTTAATTAACTGGACAATACCTTCTATACATAAACTAATTCCAGTAAAAGTAGCGCTCTTTTGAAGCCAAACCTTGCAAAAATTAAGGACACTTTATCTCTCATTTCGATCAAATTTCGGACAAGAATTTCGAACGCTTTGTTAAAAAAATTCTAGAGCAAAATTACGCTTAAAAAACATGAATTAGACTGAAGCGAAATCTGTGAAAACAGAGTAACTCTGTAAAAAAAAAATAGTTTGCGGACGCGAAAATAACGTATTTCCTCGAATAATACTGCCAGGGGCGATTTTTATTCTTTTTTCGCACCAAAAGGAGGCCATTATTTCAATAAATCACATCAAGTAAACTGAGCATGGGCTTTTTAATGTCGCGATATAAACGATTAAATGAAAAAGCTTGTGTAAACAGGGAGAGGATAAAACAGAGAAAAGGTGGGCGAGGTAGCTGGGGGAGGCGAATGTTTTAAATATTTCCATGAAAGAGGGGCGATTATTCGATGGAAAGGTACCAAGCTTTCGACTGTATATATTTGTCTTGTTAATTCTTCTTTCAGCCGCCTAAGGAAAATAGATATAACGAACAAAGAATGACCGATCCATATCTCTTAATAATTCTGATCAATATAGCTAACAAAGACAATAATCCAGCAATCCAGGACATGCCCTGTTCGCACATCTCACACAATACATCTTCTTCTCCCCTAATATTTTGCATAAGCATAAGTGTTGTCTCTAATTTCTTTTGGGACGACTTTAATACCCAGGAGGAATTAAAAACAAATTTTGGTATATTAATGGAGATGCCCAAATGGTGAATAGCCTGCATAGCAGATTCAAAAGAAGTACGTTATTCACCCGGCACGGTCTATAGGTGCGACGGTAAAACGGGCAACCAACCGACATCGATCTTGTTTTGCAACACTGCCGAAGAACGAGTTGAAAAGCGAATGTTTTCCCGCCCACGTTAAAACCTGTCTTGCAACAAATTAGGTTGCTGGATGCGAAAAGTTGTTGCAGACAGTAGAGAGTAGTTCTACTTTTTGCAGGCAAAATCTGTAAAATGTTGCGCAGCCCATGCCAAGACAATTTGTTTTGCAGCAAGTAACGTAATCTTATGCAATCAGAAGTCAGTATTCACACAACTTGCAGCAACCTTTATTTGTTGCAAGACATGTTTGAGCGTGGGTAGTAAAACACGTAACATCGCTTTTCAGCACGTTCCGCAGCAATGCCGTAGCAATGTAGCGTTTCACAGCAGTAGCTTGTTCGTTAAGTGCTGCCTGACGTCCTTTGATAATTGCATTTGTCCGCTTCTTCGGACCGGTTCAAACGCCAGGCCGTCTTACCCTAGCTTAAAGCATGCCGGCTCTGAGGCTTTTACGCAGACTATAAAGGGAAGTAGTGGTGGCATATATTATATACCTTTATTCTATTAGTTAACTGTTGACATTCTTTGTCAGTTTTTCCTATTTCCTGCTGTAGTTTGGCAATGCGTCTTTTCTCTTTTTGTTGTTCCTGGCTGATCCTTTTGTCTTGCTCCTCGAGTTTCATTTGTAGCTCCTGTGAGGAAAAAAATTCTTAAAATGACTTTAACAAGGCTGACGTATCATTTCAGAAACTTATGCAATTTGAGACGAGTTAAAAAACAACTAACTTTTAGAACCCCCGAGCATAATGGCTAAGCACACTGGACTGATTTATTATTGGAGAAAGGTGTCGGATTATTCAGTAAGATTTTACTTAGAAAATCGAAATAACAAAAAAACGTTCAAGTTAACACACACTATTTGGAAAGTTCTAACTGACTTTTTAACGCATTATGCCTTAGTAGCCTAACACATGGTTCCTGCTCAAGTAGTTAACTCGGACTAACCGTACGAGCGACGGCAGGAATCATTACCGCTTGTCAGTAAAACTGTAAAAGTTTGTGTAAAATTGTGTTCAGTCAATAAGATGGATGTCTTTATTGAATTCGACATGGTGACTCAACACGGTGACAGGGGATGAAAGAGGACTTATTTCCCAATTGATATCAACCCTTTCATTACCCACCCAGTCCACGAAAGGTTCTACCACATCATCGGGGTCTACGCCCCTACTTTTTACGAACAGCAGTGTGGGTTCTCTTAAGTGCCACAAGAATCAGAACAGTGAAAGAGTTGTGAGACGGGGCCTAAGGTTTTTCGTCCTTACCTGAGAATACTAGAATGTCTAACCATTTGTAGAGGTCACAATAAACAACCTCCTCCCCAACCTCCTCCCTCCTCCTCCGGCTGGTTCAGCCGGAGTTTGAACCCGCGACCTCCCGCTCAGCAGACTGATGACGCTTTATTCAGTTGTCATGTGAAGGTCAAGACTTACCACTATCTTATCATCTTTCTTATCCAGTTCTCTTGTAGCTTTTTCTATCCTCCCCTCCAGTTCGTCGAGGCTTGGAAGAGTGGAGCCAGTTTCTACTAATTTAACTAGTCTTTCACTTTCCTTTTCAAGCTGCATGAGTTTCTTGCTTTTTTTTCTGAGAGAGGAAAAGGTGTTGCGTCAGCAATTCGTTACCCTTTTGCCAAAGAAAGAACTGCGAGTCATTTTATATAATTAAAGAAGTACTTAATTAACTGGACAATACCTTCTATGGATAAACTGATTCCAGTAAAAGAAGCGCTCTTTTGAAGCCAAAACTTGCAAAAATTAAGGACACTTTATCTCTCATTTCGATCAAATTTTGGACAAGAATTTCGAACGCTTTGTTAAAAAAATTCTAGAGCAAAACTACGCTAAAAAAAACATGAATTAGACTGAAGCGAAATCTGTGAAAACAGAGTAACTCTGTGAAAAAAAAATAGTTTGCGGACGCGAAAATACCGTATTTCCTCGAATAATACTGCCAGGGGCGATTTTTATTCTTTTTTCGCACCAAAAGGAGGCCATTATTTCAATAAATCACATCAAGTAAACTGTGCATGGGCTTTTTAATGTCGATATAAACGATTAAATGAAAAAGCTTGTGTAAACAGGGAGAGGATAAAACAGAGAAAAGGTGGGCGAGGTAGCTGGGGGAGGCGAATGTTTTAAATATTTCCATGAAAGAGGGGCGATTATTCGATGGAAACAATTAATCGAGGGACGGCTATTTGTGGAGCTCTCGCACGCTCGACGCGCGCGCAGCGGAGCACCATAGGTAAGAAAATTTGCTTGTCTTTGCAGGAAATGACTAGATTCCACTGCTCAAAAGGAGGTTTGTGAGCCCGTGAGACTGAGCACCCCCACCTAAACCTTGTTTTCACTAAAACCGCTGGGCACCGCCACCTCCTTTTGAGCTATGGAAGCAAGTATCCGGGAGCTTAGCTTTTAGCTCTGGCTAAATCTACATATTATTATAGGAAATACGGTAACACAAATACAGTTAAACTGGAGCTGGATGGAATACTGTACTGCCAATTAGAATTTAGCTATGTGTTTGCGTTTCATAACAGAAATTAAAATTTTCGTTTCCAGTGATGAAAAGAACTACTTCTGAAGAAAGGTTAATTCGAATTCTCTCTATATCACGTATATTGGCCTGTCTGTGCTGTAAATATTAGGACACTTTTTTTAAAAAAAAGCATCCACCCAAATGACGTCATGGTTTCGTAAGGTAGTCTCACCTGTACATAGCATGGGCATCAACACAATTTTCTTCGCTAAATCTCACATCTTTGCGAAATCCTTTCAGTGATAGATTTGCCATATCTACAAAGTCGTGTCTTTCATTTATCTCTCTCTTTTGTGATCTCTGAAGTCTTTTCAACGCTCTGTTTTCGTCCCTTAATCTGTCAACAGTGTCACCCAGCTTCCTGGCTTCAATGTCCATGGCTGTAGCTTTGTGCTGGGTGCGTAAAGCAATCTCGTATAAAAGGCGATCCATTGCTGGTTGCTGTTTTTTACTCCACCTCCGAGGTAGTAAATAGAAGTCTTTACGCTTTACTTTCTTTTCACCTAAAACAATGGGAGGCAAATCGCAATAAATCCTGGTTCAATAGATTCCCTTTCGCTACCAATTTGCACCCTTTTCTGCTATGCACTTCATAAGCAACAAAAATTAAACAAAAATGCGAACAAGATATGACGAGAAAATAATGAAGTCAATTTCACTGGCCAAATATCGGTGCAGGAAAAAAGTTTTAAATTTAGTTAAGAATAATCAAGGTAAGACTGAGCATGAAAATCACTTTGTCCACCATTTTGGCATGTGCTTATGAATTACCTGGGTCAGTCGACTCATCTTTATGGACAGGACATAAAACAATCTACAAATTGGTCATTTGTGGTGAAGGAATTAAACGTTTGTATCTTCTTACGTCGAGACAAAATGATTCAGGACAGAATTAAAATTATAAAACTTTAATGAGCTGAGAAATCAAATCACAAACAATATGATTAGGGAGAGAAATATACTTTGTAGGGTTTTAACAAAAATATGGAACCATTTTAATGCTGTAGCAATACTTTGCCCCAGTAATGCTGATTAAAAATACCACATATCAGTGTAGTAAACTGAGCACTGATAAAAGTGATAACATTACAGCCAAGAATGTTATCAAAATATCAAAGTTCCGTTGCTAAGAGCCTAGTAAATTGCCTTTTGGTTTAACATTATTATCTCCAAAGGTTTGTACCCAACCGAACCGGGCTACCGTTATTATCCTCTTTGTTATTAAATTAATATCTTTGGATCGCGAAAAAACCTGGTAGATTTTTTGCTTATTCAAGTAACATAAAGGGATTTGTTAAAAATTCAAAGCTATTTTATTCTAATTTAAAACTGCCTTACCTCCGCCAAAATGTCGTCTGATCTCCAATTTAACTTAGTGGGTTTATATAATCTTATTTTTCTCTTTCGGGGAAAACTTTAAGTGGAGAGGTAGCTGCTTTTGAAGCATAGCATAAGTTACTGCATAACTGAGTCCGCGGGATTTATTTAATCTTTGAATATCCAGCAGGCCGAGGTGAATACATTATTAATGACAAGATAACAAAGCACAATCACCAACCAATGCAAAAGTAATCTTTGTGTTTTCCCTTTTGATAACTGAAAGCCAAACTTTGGTTATAGAAATTGAAAAGAAGCTGTTTTCGTTCTAGGCTATTATTAATTTGTATCAGCTGATAAAATAATTATTCCAATTATTCACGTCAAGGAATTAACTTCCTCAGTATTGTAAATGAACTCAAATATTTCAAGGAATATCTCGAGGACTTAGTATTCAAGAAATATTTGGAAACATATAACTTTGGACCTAAATTTTTTAAAACTTCTACATTTCTGTTGCAAAAATAACATATAAACATTCACTACATGCCGTGAGATACATCCAATCACGGGAACTAGAAAACCCGAGGTTTCCGAGGCTGTAGTATCTCGTTGCTTGTCTCCGTGTAATAGCCTGCATAGAAGTGGTGGGCGCAAGAGAGAACGGGCGCGCGCGAGGGAGACACGCGAGGGGTTGCGTGTCTCATTCTCGTGCGCCCGTTTTTTCTTGTGCCCACTTCTTCCAAGCGCCTGCTACGCAGGTTTTAGCCTCCCACGCAGGTGTTTTTAGGGGAGCTCCCCTAAAAACGCCTGCGTGGGAGGCTACGCAGGTTACCTTGTAATACATTCCTCTAAGAGCAAGAGAGGATCAATTGTCTAGGAGCTATGCAACTCATCATCTTCAGTTTTATGGACTCATCAAAAAAACCTTTGAAATTTACCTTTCGTTGTTCGTGAGAAAAAGCTGACTTGTGAAGACGTTTTTTTGTGGGATGTCTTGCTCGTAACAGATTGACTGAGTGGTGATGAGACAAGACGGCTTTCTGAGTCCACTTCAGCTGCGTCAGAAGAAGGGGTTATCAGTGAACAGACCAAGCAAATCAAAGTTAAGAATATTAAAAATATTTTGCGCCTTCTTAACGATTCTGCTTATGCATTTTCACAAACCTGACTTTTCCTGTAATAAAGTTTGGCTAGTTGAAGGCTTTATCGAAGTAGACGCGGTTTTTATTTCCCTTTCGCTTTTGCTTTCGTCCTCCGTGCCAGGATCACCAGTCGCTCGGCGGGAATCTTGCACCAATAGTTGTTTTTTACCGTTCTTTACTTTGGCTGAAACGGAGACAATAAAGTGGCTGAGCTTCACTTTCACTTAGCTTGCGTGTCATTTGCTGGAGAGAGGGAACAGGGCGCGGGCAACTGTGTTTGCTCTTCTCCGGCTGCAAGTATAGCAGGCAAACACAGAAAAAACTTCAGCCGAGGTACCGTACTGTATGTCACTGACCAAAAATAAACCATCGACAAGCAGTAATGGGTATTTAATTAGTCGGAATGTTTAGTAACTGAGAGAAAAACCTCACAACTCTAGAAAAAGTGGTATTTAAGCTGAACATTGTTATCAAAAAGTCACCACTCAGCTATCTACCATAAAAAATGCTATCTATCATGGACGAGAAAATACTGCATGATCTTGATGCCAAAGCGAAGACATTTCATCGAATTGGAAAAGTCACTTTTTGCGACACTGGTGTCGCTGAATTTGTCGGCCTAGTGTTTTTTACATAAATTTGAGAAATGCTGGTATTTGAGTTGTCTCCACTTAGCAACCAGACCTGCGTACTGAAACTGATATGTTTAGCTTTTGCATGAGAAAGAACAGACTCGCGCGGGCGCTAGCCGCAATACTAAAGTTACCTTGCTTGTCCTCTAGGGTGGTGTCCAGGACCGTATCTGCTGATGATAACCTAGCACTTTCAATCTCACAATCACCTTCATTTTGATAAGGATAATCCTGTGCTTCTTGTTCATCTGAATCTTTTAATACTGAAAATATCCGCAGTTCATTATAGATTAGATTTACCATGCATGTTATCCTCTCTCGATCGCCCATCCCCACACGCGTCTTAGCGAGATGCGACAGCCACCCGCGATCACCTGCTTCAAGGGTGCTATTCGCAATCAACGGACTGCCGGTGACATTATCCACTTGAGAATGGTGCAGAATTTCTTACAAAATAGGCTTAGGAAAGATTGCACTGAACGGAAAAATTACCTTAATTTACTGTTTAACAGAGCATACCTAAGGAACGTTGTTGTAAAGTAAGTTGGCCAACGAAACAAGGAATTTTTCCTAACTAATTTATTCTTGGTTTTTCGGTTACCCATCTCCAGCAGTAACACCGCTTCACCAGTAGACAAGTAATGGCAAGTATTTAAACTTCACACAACTCATTAAGGAAAGACCAAAGCTCGTCTTAAAACCATGGCCAACAACCTGAATTATTTCGGTGGTAAATTCATCTTGTCGACCCAGTTGAAAACTTAAAAACAAACTTTTGTAATTCACTTCCCTACCTACCTAGAAGCACAGTTTCTACTAAAACTGCTGTAAAATATGCATCTTATTGACTATGTTGAGACGCAGGACCTGACAAGTTTATACCGTGCGATGTTTTATTATTATTGCCCCGTAGGTGTTTCTGTTTTTCTGTTTTGTTTGGATTATTAAAGAGCTGAATAATTAAAATGAAATTCTCATTTACCATAATTTTCGTTTCTATAAATTGTACCAGTTTCATCGAAATTTTCTTAGGGGTTCAACAATAAATTAAATTCCTCCGAATACCTCCTGGATTTTAAATTTTCTTTCGGAAATTTCGAGAAAACTGAAGGAAAAAAAGGAGC